GCCTGATCACTTCTTACCACTTCCACCACTGTTGCCTGGGCCCTGCCACCATCTTCTCTTGCCAGGACTATTACATCTGTCTTTTGAGTAATTTCCAACTTACTGCCCTCTCTCCAATCCCTTTGCACAGAGCAGTCAATTCGGTCATTTTAAACATAAATCAAATATCTCTGCTGCTTTTCAAACATGCCGTTGTCTTCCTTTGCCACTTAGACAAGGACCCAGCCTCCCTCCCCTCGACTTGACTCTGCCTCCTTCTCAGACCTCTTCTCTGGTCTTTTATTTATCACCGCACTCCAGCTACACTGGCCTCCTTCTCATTTATTTAAAATATCAAGCTCACTGCTACCTCTGGACCTCTCTGCAGATGTTTTCCTGGCTGTTTCTTTTGGTTCACTCAGGTCTCTGCTCAAATGTCACTTCCTCAGAGAGGCCTTTTTGACCACTCTAGGTAGAGAAGGAGCCCCTCTCCCCACCACGTCTATCTCGACTATACTTCATAGCATGTGTCACTGTCCAAAAGGCTCTCATTCATTTACATCCTTATGGCCTGTCTTCCCACACTGTGTCATGAGAGCAGCTAAATTATTTGTCTCGTTATTATATCCCGTGTTTACAAGAGGGCCCAGCTTAATATAGGTGTTTAATGAACGTCTGTTACATAGATGGATGACTGGGGCTCCCTCCTTCCCCTCAGGTGTTCAAGAAACTCAGGGGCTATGCGTCTTACTGGTACACTGTGTTACTGCCGAAATCTGGTGCCACTCGGTGTGCAGAGGATGCTGGTCCACTGCTGACTCAGATCCCGGGCCAGGCCTCAGTGAGCCTTCGAGGGAGACCAAGCCCACTCCCTCCACTCTGAGCTCAGCAAGGGTGCCTCTTCTCCTGGGCTCCTGCGATTACGATCCCTAGTGCTCTGTTCTTCCAGTGCCCACACACGGCCACCTCCTGGGGGGTGAGCTGGCCTCAGAAGCACTGAGTTTCAGAAGCTGCTCTGGACTCCACTACCCCATGGACCCCCAAGCCCCTCAGTGAACCTAGGGCAATTTCCTGTCACTTTCCTTGCAAACAAAAAAAAAAAAAAAAAAAAGAAAGAAAAAAGTACAAATTGAATTTCTTTGAGGTTACCCTTCAGAATGAACATTGATTCATTTATTTTTTCATTTAATAAATTTTTATTGGTCACCAAGTATATGCCAGGTGCTCTTCCAGGCACATTATTTTGTAATGTCATCATCTCTATTGTCTTCTTCATCATGAGTCTACGTTACATTGCGAATTCCTTAAGGGCAGAGACAGTCTTTCCACTGTAGTCAAGTGCTCAGTAACTGTCTATTGCCCGAATCAACGAAAGAAAGGAGAGAGAATGAAGGGCTGAAGGAAGCTTTGGCTCCCTTACGTTTACATTCAAACAAAAACAAGGAAGAGTGATTACTCTTTAAATCATACAATGTTATTACCTTAAAATAAGTTTTAAATGTTTAATACTTGTCATAATCTCACCATGCTAACACATATACATTTTTCCATGTTTTCTTTTGATTTTGTCCATTGAAGTGCATATTTTTAGGTATTTGTCATTTTAATGTATTTTCCATGTCATCTTCTGCCTTTCCACTTAACACCAATGACCAACATTTGGTATGTTTTCACATTATCATCACCTTCGTGCCTTCCTGTAATTTAGGAATTTCTCTTTTCTTATTTTTGAACCCACATTGGGCGCCCTTTGGTCACTAGCACTGTAAATCCCCGAACAACCTACCAGGTGTCTTTGTGCTTCTCTGACAGACAGCGAGGTCGGCGAGTCCTCGGGCAAGCACGCCTGGTTGTGGAGGAAGCAATGATGCCCCGTCAGGGAGGAGGCAGGCCCGGTTTCTCAGGAGAGAAGGAAGGAAGGGGCGCCTCACCAGCAGCGCTGAACCTGGAGCGTGTGGACGGCGCGACTTAGCTCCCCTCTGGGGCTTGATGAGCCTGTTTCTACCTCCTGGCCCTCTGCCTGGGTACCATCTGCAAAGCTTTGGCTTCTCTTTCAGTTTTGCAGGAAGCTTATGCTTTTAATATGCTGCTATCGGGTAGGGGAAAACAGGAGAACAGCGGACTTCAGGGATCTGCCTGTTTCTCTTCTGCCTTTTAACCGAGCTTAGCTTCTTCACCCCTTGTTTTGGCCAAGTGCAAGATGAGCACAGAGGAGTACTGCTCTGACACAGGACGCCGCCCCCTGAAGAAATCAGCAGGAAACTGGAGAGGTTTATAGGAGCTTCTTCTCTGCCTCTCACCCTGGAAACAAGTGGAAGTACATTTGCAAAACTACATTGAAAATAAACGAGAAAACGTGTTCCACTTTATGCCAACTCTTTTGGAATAGAACTAGTTTTAAACGAAGTAATGAGGAAATGGCCTTTGTAACTAAATGTTGACTAATGTGCTGTGAACCTAGGCTTGAAAACGGGAAATCAAACTAGGAATGAAAAGGGGGAAGTTCTCTGGGTGCCTTGCCTACAAAACTTGGAGATGAGCCATATTTTGTAAACCAGAGAATTTAGACTCAGTTTATTTTGTGTTAATTTCTCCTCTCTTATTTGCTACCACTTATCAAGTTATGTTTCTGCAGTTCAGGTTGGCTTTGGGCTATAAGGAGTGTGCGTGGGCCAGAGTTAACTGGGACCAAAGGCGTTCCCTGGAAGCCAACATGTTGACGGCAGGTATAGAGAGAGATCTTAAAGAGGGAGACGAATCTGGTGGTGGAGGCACCCAAAAGTGAAGGCCAGATTATTTAGGGGCCCCTTCCCAAAAGGAGATCTCCTGTGAGAGCCAATCTTGAATCCTACTATTTCCATTTTATTTTTTTTTAAAGATTGGCACCTGAGCTAACAACTGTTGCCAATCTTCTTTTTCTTTATTCCTGCTTTTTCCTCCCCAAATCTCCCCAGTACAGAGTTGCATATTTTAGTTGTGGGTCCTTCTAGTTGTGGCATGTGGGACGCCACCTCAGCATGGCCTGACGAGCGGTGCCGTGTCCGCGCCCAGGGTCCAAACCGGTGAAACCCTGGGCCGCCGAAGTGGAGCGCACAAACTTAACCACTCGACCTCCGGGCCAGCCCCAATTTTATTTTATTTTTATTCCAAAAGGTAGCTTATCCTTTAAGGAATATACTCAAGCCCAAAAGAATTCTTTTGAAAATATTTAAAAAGTCGTGTGAGAAAATTAAATCAAGCAGAACTGAAATGACGACATTTTACAAGCTCTAAGATGTGGCACCAACGAAGAGCACGAGGAAAGGAGAGCGGCGTTGTCGCATACGCAGAGCGTCAACCCCCGTGGCACATCTGTGATGGGCCCAATCATGCATTCACTCTTTCGCTGGACGTTTCCTAAGTGACCATTAAGCGCCAGGTGTTACAGGCAGCGGTGGAACACGGTTGTCACCCATGTCAGTTTTTCATAATTTCAGAATGTGTCGGATAAGCAAGGGCTAAGCGTGTGGGGCACAAGTGCTCCAAGGCCTATGAGGGAGCGCCCGGCATGGGGCGTTATCTGTGCTCTGCCAGAGCCCACGTGCCTCCCCGGAAACCGCCCCACGGAGGACAGGAGGCAGATCCCACCAACATTCTTGTTTCACTACACCACCTTGTCTGAAATTTAGTCACCTTAATCACTGTTTACTGTCAAGTCCCACAATTTAAATACCAGGCAACTACAGCATATGGTGTTTTGGCCCTAATGAACCTTGTAAATACCTGGAACACACAGAATATTTATCTTCATGGCAGGCCTGCCTCTAATGCTTATGGGACCAGAGGTAACAGGAGTACAAAAGGAGGCCAGTGTACCATGGGCAACTATTTGAATACTGTGCTCAATGATCAGCAGCAAAGCCACAAACTGAAGCGCTAAGGGAAAGGAAAATCTAGGCCCGACATCACTCTGCTGTACAAACCCCCACTTTGTCATGCAAGAATCTATTGCTTTCAAGCTGAGAAGAAGGATGACAAGTTAACTTACGTGTTCCTCTTACCTATTTAAGCGCTTTGCTGCTCAAATCCCACCCGGACTCCACAGCAGCCTCTGTCTGCCCAGGCCAGCTGTCCCACCCACAGATCCTCACTGCTTCCGGGTTCCACCTTTTGTTTTGAAGACAAAGGACAAGAGACATGAAGAAGTGTTTCCCAGCGGCCGGGACAGTGTTGGTCCAGGGAGAGGGCACTTATGGCTGTGGGCCAGGGTTCAGCATCAGACCAGGAGTGGCCGAGGCCCCCGTGTTTTTAATAAATCGATGTATTTGCGGTATGTAAGGTCCTTCAAAGCGTGGGGTCCAGGACAGGGGCCTCTCCTGCCCGGGTCTAAGCGGGTAGAGCTTAGTGATCCCGGGAATTTAATGCCAAGCTCATCTGCAGGGTGATCTAGATGACTGCGTTTTTTTAAAGAACTTTTTCAGCATCAAGAAAGATAGGGCGAGACTAACGGCTGGGAGAACCGTAGCAAATTTCGAAGTCTTTCCCCGGAACTGGGTGTGAATGTTATGAAGACTTTTTAAAGGGAAGCGCAAATGCGTCCAAGAGGAGGACGGGGTAGCGCCGTGGGGCCATCACCAGCTCCAAGGACGACGAGCTGCGGGCCCCGTGCGTCCCCTCGCTCAGCGCATCGTGTGACAGCCAATCCCAGGTGTCTCAGCACCGCGCCCGTGCATTTCTGAAAGAGCCTCTCAGGGAGACACATTCGCAGGCCCAGCATCCGATTCTCCCCGAGTCAACAAACACGTGACAGCAGCATCCACGCGGAGGGCCCTGCGTGGTCCTCCCTCTCGAGGGCGAGAACAGTCTCCCGGGCGGTGCGCGTCGGGGGTCGCCACCCGCGAGCCGTGTGACGCGCACGCGCAGGGGCGGCCACACGAAGCCTCCCCGGGGCCGTCGCAGGGCCCGCAGGTCCGGGGCTGCCGCCGGGGGGCACCCCGGCCTCCCCGCGAGGGCGCACGCGCTCCCCCGCCTCCGCTGGGACGAGGCGTGGGACACTTCTTTTTCCAAAATGCGCGAGTTGCTAAGCGAACCGCGGGCCTGTGTGAACGGCCCTGGGAGGCCTCTCCTGCTAAACTGCCCGGCGGGGAGGTTCGCGGTCCGGGGCGCCCGCCCTTCCGGCCCGGACGCCGTCGGGGTTCCGTCCCCGTCGGGGAAGGGCACCCTGCTGACCACGGTCCCAGCGTCGCCCCGGTGGCTCGAGGCGCGCTGGCCCGGGCGGGGTGCCCCGGCCCCTCAAGGCGGCGGTGAGCAGGGCTCGGCGCCCCTCGGCCCCGGGCAGCGCCCGCGCCTCCTCACTCCCGACAGAGCGCTCCGCGCCGCCGCGCCCGCGCCGGGACGGAGGAAGCGACGGCGCCCGGGAGGGGCCCGCGGCGCATGCGCGGTCGGGCGCCGCTCGGGCGCCCCGCGGCCGCTAGGTGGCGCATGCGCGCTGGAGGGTGCGGGCCGGTCTCCGGGAGGAAGGCGGCGGCGGCGGCGCGGCGCGGCGCGGGGCGGGGGCGCGGGGGCCGGGCCCGTGTTTACACGGCGGCGGCGGGCGGCGCGGAACCGGGCGAGGCGGCGGCGGCGCGATGGTCATGGCGCATTTCGTGGAGAGTTTCTGGGTAAGACGAGGGCGGGGGAGCCGGCGCGGTCCCTGCGCTGCCCTCGGCCTGCCGCGGCGGCGGCTCGGGGCGCGGGCGTCGGGGACCCGCCCGCCGGGAGCGGGCGCGGGCGCGGGAGCGGCGCGGAGCCGCAGGAAGCGGGCGGCGGGCTGGCGCTGGCCTCGCGGCCCTGTCAGCGCGGCCCCCGCGGGACAAAGCGCCGGGCGGCGGACGCGGGCCCGGGCTGCGGCTGCGGGCGCGCTCGGACGCCGGGCGGCCCGGCCCGGCCCGGCCCCGCGGAGCCCCCGGCCTCCAGCCCGCGCCGCCCGGCCCGCCGCGGGGCCTGCTCACAAAGCGCGCGGGCGGGGGCCGTGGCGGCGCTCGCGCCGTGACCCCGGGCGGCCCGCCGGGAGGGGCCGGCGCGCTCAGGTGGCCCCCGTGGGGCGCGCGCGTCCGGACCGTCGCAGGTACCCGCGGGGCCGCGTCGGCGACCCTTAGGAGGATGGAAGGGGCGGCTTCTCGGCGAACAGGACTGTGTCCTGAACTCTTATTTCTGGGCGTCTCGAGGGTGGACGTGCTTAGTGATCGATCAGTTCATCGTTGTTTGCCTTCAGTAGTCCTTGTTTTCCGTGAGCTGCGTGGATCCTAGACCTTAGGTTTTTTTTTTTAACAGCTTTATTGAGGCACCATTCACATACCATACAGTACATCCATTTAACTGGACACTTGAAGGGTTGTTCGTGTTCCTAGAGTTGTGCGGACATGACCACGATCAATTTCAGAACAGTTTCATCCGCTCAGAGAATGCCTGTCCCCATTAGCAGTGGCTCCTCCCTTCCCCTCCCTGAGCCCTGGCAGCTCCTGTCTAGATGTTTGCCTCGACAGATTTGCCTGTTCTGGACGTGTCCTGTAAATGGGGGCGTGTATGTGGTCCTTTGTGACTGGCTTCTTTCGCTTAGCATGTTTCCAGGGTTCATCCTTGATGTGGCTTAATCATCATTAAGCATCAGTGCTTAAATTCCATCTTATGGCCAAATAAGATTCCATGTTATGCGTATACCACAGTTTACTCATCCATTCCTCAGCGATGGACGTTTGCTTGTTTCTGCTTCTGGGCTGTTAGGAATAATGCTGCCGTGAACATTTTTGTACAAGTTGTTGTGAGGACATAGGTTTTCATTTCTTTTGGGAATGGAACTGCTGGGTCGAGTGATAACTCTGTTTAACGTTTTGAGGAGCTGCCAGACTGTCTTCCAAAGTGGCCGTGGCATTTTACAGTCTCACCAGCGGTACCTGAGGGTTCCAGTTCCTCCACGTGTTCAACAGCGCTTATCATCTGTCTTTTTTATTATAGTGGACGAGTGTGAAGTGTATCTCATTGTGGTTTTGATTTGCATCTCTCTGATGGCTAATGATGTCGAGCGTCTTTTCATGTGCTTGTTGCCCATTTAGATATTTTCCTTGGAAAAATATCTGTTTAAATACATTGCCCGTTTTTGAATTGGGCTATTTGTCTTTTTATTGAGTTGTAAGAGTTCTTCTTATATTCTGGGTACATGTCTCTTATCAGATATACAATTTTGTAAATATTTTCTTGCATTCTGTATGTTATCTTTTTCACTTTCTTGATGGTGTCCTTTGAAGCACAGAAGTTTTAAATTTTGATAAAGTCTTGATTAAGTCTAATATATCTAATTTTCCTATCACTTAGGCTTTTGTTGTTGTATCTAAGAAATCTTTCCTAAGCCAAAATCACAAAGATTTCTTCCTGTATTTTCTTCTACGAGTTGGAGAGTTTAGCTCTTACATTTGGGCCTTCTGTGAGCCATTTGAAGTTGATTTTTGTGTATGGTGCAAGGAAGAGCTACGCCTTCATTCTTTTGCACGTGGGTATCTAGTTGCCCCAGCACCCTTTGTTGAAAAGGCCTTTCTGTGTTGAATTGTCTTGGCACCCTTGTTGAAAGTCAGTTCACCATAGATACGTGGGTTTATTTCTGGATTTTCATTTGTATTCCACTATCTATCCTTGTGCTAGAACCACACTGTTTTGATTATAGTAGCTGTGTAGTAAGTTTGAAATAGAAAAGTGTGAGCTCTCCAACTTTGTTGTTCCTTTTCGATATGGTTTTGGCTGTTCTGAGTCCCTTGCGTTTCCATATGAATTTTAGGTTTAGCTTATCAATTTTAGACTTTAGTTTTTATGATGGCAATTTATGAAACTTTTATAAGGATCATTTAAAAGTTGACTTTCATAAATGTTTTGCATATTTTTTGATGCCATGAGTGTGTTTTTGAAGTTTGCTAACTTAATTCCAAATTGCACATTAACATTTTAAAGTTATCATTTGTTTTCTGTTAATTGAGCTTTGAACATAGCCTTATTTGGTGTTTTTGGCTATTATGAATAATGCTGAAATGAACATTTAAAAAAATTTAATTATTTTATTGAGGTCATATTGGTTTATAACAGTGTGTACCTTTGAGTGTACATTATTATATATCACTTTCTGTATAGACTGCATCATGCTCACCCCAGTAGTCTAGTTTTTATCTGTCACCATAGGGACATCCGTGATCATCTGTCGCTTTACCCCTTTGCCCTCCCCTGCCATCCCCTTTGCCTTGGGTAACCAGTAATCTGTTCTTATCCATGTGTTTGTTATACGAACATTTTGTATCAGTTTTTGTGCACCCCTTGTTTGTCCCTCTTAATGAGGAATAGGAATAAATTTGGATGTCTGAAATCTAGAGAATCTTAAGTCTTAATTTGTGTTTCAGTCTTGGCCTTCACTTCTGCTACTGAGTGCAAGCGGTTAAAGTAGGCTGCATTTTATTTTACTTCCAAGCCTGGAATTTAGGCTGAAATCTCTCAACTGGAGCTTAAAAGTCTCCAAAGGAGGGCTAAATGAACTGGGAAAGTCTAAAAACTAAATACCTTTTCAGAATTTTATAGCTGTCTGTTTAAAACAACTTGGAATTTACATATTTCAGGATCATTTATAAAATAATTTTTTAAAATAGAGAACTTACAATATTAGTTTCACTTTTCTCCCCTAATATTTAAAGTGGCACTGTCAAAACAAAATAAAACTTGTCAAAGTGAGGTAATGGGAACCTTTAAAGTTCTAGGTTTCTAACCAAACAACCTGTTAATTGTTTTTGTCCGGTCCCGTACGTATGGAAAGACAAACCTTTTTGTTGTGGCATTTTGTTAGAGGAAAGTTTGAATCATTGAAACTGTCTTCAAGCTCTTTTGAAAGCAGCACATCCTGCCTTTTTCTTTAGAGTTTTTCTTAACTAAAGCTATATGCTACGTTATAAATTCCTTTACTTAATAACTACATTTTGAAGAGGAAAACTATTCAAAACTTCCTACACAACAGGTGTTTTGTTGTTGATAAGTCAGTTTTTGCCACAAAGTATAGTGCCATTGATAATCAAGTAGAAAATGTTTTTCTTTTCTATTAAAATTGGGCAGCAAAAATAATTTTGATAGCAGAAATCCACACCGCTGCTTTAATATATGAAAACAGCTGTTAGCCCTTCAAAAGATTATGTAACTTTAAAAAGCTATTGACAAACATTCCAATGAGGAAGTGTCTGTGTGCTGCTGCTTTCTCAGAGTTGAGCACTAGTTTATAATACTCTTGCTGTCATCTATGTAAACATAACTTGGCTTTGTATTTTTATATAAGTCCAGATTATTTAATTCAGGATTTAAAAAACAATTTTTTTTAAGAAATAGATTTCATAGATGATAATTATTTAAGGGGACAATATACTTGATTTAAATACCTTATAAATCTCATTTTACGTAATAATCCCAATCTGTGTAAGATCTGAAGCATTCTCCCAAAGACACCAAGTATACTTTAGTGTACATCACGTCATGATGTATATTTGTGCATGATGTGCATTTTTAGTTAGGTGACTTTTTCTAATGATTATCTCCAGCCAACACATCAGGAATGAATGAACAACAATTATCTTAGGTATTTTTATCCTGAAGTTTTTCCATATTTCTCTTACTGTTTAACCAGTACAGAAGTCTCATTTCATTTGTCTATTGATTTCACTGGTATTGTCATACTTTACTTTTAAACAAAATTGGAACACTTGGTTGTATATCCAAAATTTGATCTGTCGTTACATGGATAAACTGAGAGGATTAAAATGTTTTTTAAAAATCTGGAATTTTTTTTTTTTTTTGAGGAAGATTAGGCCTGAGCTAACATCTGCCGCCAATCCTCCTCTTTTTGCTGAGGAAACTGGCCCTGAGCTAACATCTGTGCCCATCTTCCTCTACTTTATATGTGGGACGCCTACCACAGCATGGCGTGCCATGTGGTGCCATGTCCGCACCCGGGATCTGAACCTGCTAACCCTGGGCCGCTGAAGTGGAATGTGCGCATTTAACCGCTGCGTCACCAGCCTGGTCCCTGGAATTGTTATTAATAGGACTTTGGAATGCAAAACATTATATTTTTGCTTGATTAATCTAAATTTGGTATCACAGATGAGAGACTAACAACCATGCCCCCCCCATATTCTTTGGGGTTATTTATCCATAGGAAAATTAAAAAATATGTAGCTTTAGAAAACTAGTTGAGGTGACCATATAAACCCAGAATATAAACTTTCTCTTTATTACTTGAAATTTCCAAATATTGTAGTTTGGGCTACCTGCTTAAAGTATGATCCCTTTGGATTTAAAAAACATGTATGTATGTATATTTTGCAAAATTTACATGGTTCATTATTCAAAAGGTACAAAAGAGAATACAGTAGAAAATCTCCCTCCCTCTCTCCAGCCGTCAAGATCTCCCCAAAGGCAATCCCTGTTACCAATTAGTTATGTAACTTTCCAGAGATAATCTATGTATATACAAGCAAATAACATACAGTAAGTTAAAATGTAGAACTGTTAGCCAGTTAGCCAGGCCCTATTGCCCGACCGCATTGTATTCAACTGCAGCAAGCTGTGAAAATGCAAACTACAGATTTATCTGTAGTTCAAGTAG